GGGGGGCTTTTTTACTTTACATAGATATGTGTTCGGCGGCATTTTCGTTCAAATACGCTACTATTCTGCGCCTCGCAGATGCTTTTTCAAAGCTTGGTAATACAAAACTAAAATTGGTGTTAACATTTCAACATCTAGGGACCGTCTGGAATCTAAGAAATAACAGCGAGCACCTCTGCAAACTCAGCTACAGATAAAGGTATGTAAACGTACATTTCTTACAATCATTCAACCAAAATTAATTTCAAATTGAAAACACATTTCTTCCAAAATAACTTAAAATCGCACACACGGAAGAACCAAAAAGATTGAAAAATCATTATACTTTTTTCTTTCGTCTGTCGATTTCAGAACTGATTCGGAACTATAGAATTTATGACTAATTCGGAACTATCGATAAAGGGATGCAGTGGCGGCAATTGACACTTCCCAGGACATCACCATGTTAAATTCGCCAGTTGCTTACATGCAAAAGAGATTTATCGCGAACCAGTACTGGGTCGAAATGTACTAGAAGCGCACCAGTTCAGAACTAGAGATTTTCCCCACAGGGTGTGTACTCAGCAAAACAGCTCGCGCATGTAATGCTTATAGCATGAAATACAAACGCAAACTGACCGAAAACTGTCGCCACTATCGATAGTTTTTAAAAACTATCGATGTCGGCTTTAGCGAAACTTCTCTATTCTTTACATCTCTTAACATTACATTTGGGGTATTCTATTGTTTGGGTATTATATTGTTGTATGTCGTCAATTAAACGTCTAAAAATGTATTAACTGGGTTCGAGAAGTACCATCAAAGTCATATTATGCATTTCCGCAGTGTTAAAAATAGTTGGCTGTGGTTTCAAGTTCTCTAAACATTTATATAAGCTTTTAAAGTTTACAACATACAACAATACGACACTTACGACACCGTTGTGAATTCCTCAATTATTGTCTTTTTTATCCAAGAAAATTAACAATACAGTCGCCAAAAAAAATTTTAGTTATTGGAATTTTTAGCAACTATAAGCTTACACTGAGTTATAGTAAAATTTAATAAGCTATAAAGCCGCTTACACAAAATTTGTATAGAAATTCGAATTAAAAAGCTTAAAATTTTAATGATTTTGTATATTTTTATGTGTTGTACAACTTTTATAAAAAATTAGAAGACACTAAACCAACAACAAAATAGTCAAGACTGCTAAAAATGTTGTGGTGCTGTTATTTTGACCAGTACTTTATTCGTTTTCTTATAATATGGTAAAATGTTAAAATTTGTCTTTGTCCGGATTTTGATATGCGCCTCCGTATTTGATCTCAGTTGAACTTTTATAAGTATGAGTTATTAATTTAAACGAATACATTTTGTTTTGTTTGTTTTGTAGTACTAGAAATATATTATTATAGCCAATTTCTCTTCTCTGCACTTCAAAAGGGGCAATTAAAATCCGAAATAAATTTTTCCATATAAAAAATAAATTCAGATTTTGCCTGTCGCTATTCAAGTGGATGCAAGTATATGTATATAAGTATATACATATATAATTCAGACGCATAAATTAATAAGTTTATTTTATTATTATAAGAAGTTCTTTTTGATGCACTCAAATTTAAACAATTTTATATAATCTCTTTAATTTACAAAGTAATTTATAAATTTTATAAATTTATTAATTATTTAATTTTCAAGCAATTTAGTATTTCAATTCAATACCTCTCACGATGATAGTACTATCGATACTATCGATGTTTTCAACGATCGTTTCGAAATCTATCGAGTGGCGGTACTATCGATAGTATCCCAGCTCTATCAGACGCACCGTCTATGTTGCCTATTAGATATAAAACATAAATTCATAGCAAAATTACACAGAATTCCAATTA